CAAACTTCATAAACCAGGTTATCCTATTAGACCCATAGTAGACACTCCTACTTATGACTTGTCTAAATACTTAGTGATGGTACTAGGTGGAATTAGAAACCGTTCTAAATCAAGATATACTAACTCCTCTTATGACTTGAAGCATAGATTAGATGACATACATCTAGATGATGATGATGATGATGAAAAAGTGATTAGCTTTGATGTAGGTAGTTTGTATACTGATACACCTTCGATTGGCATGACACCGGATGCAGTTAGAAATGAACTTACACTACGAAGTAAGGTACCAGTAGATGATATCATGCTAGGAGTACAGTTATGCCTTACCAACACAATCTTTAAGTTTCTGAATAAAATTTACAAACAAATAGTAGGAGTTGCCATGGAATCACCAATATCACCTGCTGTGGCTGACATATTTATAGATAGTTGGGAACAGATGGCTGTAGAAAAATTCAGTCTGGCTGCACACATATGGTTTCGAAATGTAGACGACGTGTTTACAGTGTTGAATTTGCAGCGCATACATAATTTCTTCACACATATAAATTCAGCAGTTAACACAGTCCAATTCACCTATGAATTAGAAAATAGTGAAGAGGAATTAGCGATGTTGGATTGGAGAAGGAAACGGAAACAAGATGGAAGTTTAGACACTAGTTGTCTACAGAAAACCTTAACATTCAAATCGTTACTTAGACTTCAAATCACCTCACCCTATACCAGTCAGTTAAAGTTGGCTTAGTAAAGTGTCTAGTAAAACAGAATGTCTAAAAGAAGAAACCAGATACATTAAGGATACCTTACTCGTCAATAATTACTCTCCCAAATTAATTGATAAGTTCCTTAGGAATTGTAAGAAAAATGTCAGTAACACAGGTATTATTATTATTATTATTATTTTTGCCTTAGGTTCCTAGTGGAGCATAGAGCTTCAGTAGCACGACTCTATTCCACTCACTTCTCTGAAGTCTTCTTTTTTAACCTGGCGCCATGACTGCCCACAACCTTCCATATCTTCCTCACACCATCTCCCACATGCCACCCTCAGCTGGGACGCTCAACTCGTCGTTTCCCCTTCGAATTCCCCTGCAGGGCCTGGCTCAGCCAAGCGCATAATGTCCCCAGTCAGCCTTCTCAGTGTGTGCCCAATCCAATCCATCTCCACCTTCTCTTTCTGCACATTTGTTGAGTGTTAAGTTCTTGTTTGCTTCGTTGGCAGACCAGAGTTCCTCGTTGCTTATTCTTTCTGGCTGTCCGGTTTGATGTGATCTGATCTCATCTCATCTCATCTTCAGTATGGAGTGAGCGTAGGTGGTAGCTGTTGATATGATGTATGTTTGTAGTTTGTTGAGAATGCTTTTCGTGACAACACAGGTATCAATAGTAGTGATAATAGTGGCAATATTGTGAACACAGTATTCAAACCAACTACAGTATTACCATATGACGAATACACCTCAGAACAACTACGTAGAATTCCCAATAAGGCTGACAGGGATTACAGTGGTATTTAAACCTACAAACTCACTTAGAAATAAGCTTTGTAGGTTAAAAGATCCTATTGATTCAATCAAGCAGAATAACTTAGTTTACTGAGTCCCTTGCAACGATGTGCGAGGTCAAGGTAGTCGACCAGCTACGGTCAATTAGGCTATCCGAACACAAAATCCTAGTTAGGTCAAAATTAGTACATCCTAGTCAGGTAAGGAATTTACAAAGAAGCTTAGCCATAGTTGTGCATGTGATTACACAACCACACAATAGTCTGGTTGGGACAGTGTGGAGGGAGAGAATGATAACTGAGTTTATGTTTATGGAATCAATACCTAAGACAGGCAACAGGATATATGGAAAATCTTACTAGTCATATCATCAAAAAGGGGATGAGGAAATTAGGACGACATGAAGGATATCTCAAAGTTGTGTAGTTATCTTGATTATTATTATAAATTATGTCAGAAAGGCGTTATCCAGTAAACAGAATCGTTCCTTCACTGTATGATAAATCTAATAAATCAATAAAAATGGAATTACAAGTTTTACTCTTGTATTTATAAGTTGGCATAAAATAGACAGAACACTAAGGAATACTATCCACTCTATCTCGAAGAAAAGTGGATTCATTAAGCTAGAATACATTGGTGAAATGAATAGCTCTATAGTTAAGCTGAGAGTTAACGCTGTCATGAATAAAGCATATAAGGCAGGTAAAGTTGAAATAATCGAAGACTTGAAGCCTATATATCCATTGAAACCTTTGAAACAGGCATGTAAAGGATGAAGTCATATCCCTATTGTATTTTTCTCTTACCAATTTTAATTTACATATGATCACATACACATTGGAAAAATTCATCCTTAAGTGAAAAATAAAGGTCATGGAAAATATCCCATAACGACTCCAGAGACAAACAGAGTTGCCTAACATTATATCAAATAACCAAGTTACTATCAGGGATATGATCAACGCAGACGAAACCAATGAAAGATGGTGAAAGAAAGCTAGTTACCGAAGAGGAGAAATAAAGGAAACAATGGGGTGACCACTTCAAAAAACTCTTGAATCAACCACCACCACCTGCAACTTGTTTAGAAATACCACCTGCAGCCACAGAACTACCAGTGAACACATGCCCTCTGACAAAATTAGAAGTTCAGAATGCCATAAAACTGCTAAAATCTGGTGAAGCAGCAGGACCAAATGGAATTCCGCCAGAAGCACTGAAAACGGACTCGGGGACAAAAGCGGACATGCTCACACCACTATTGTAGAAGGTTTGCAAGGAAGGAAAGGTATCTGGCGACTGGTCGGAAGAAGGGCTACTTTGCCAAACTCCCAGAGGAGGGAGACCTAAACCTTTGGAAGAGCTGGTGAGGAATCATGCTGCTGTCCACCCAAGGCAAAATATTATGCCGCATCATCCTGGAGAGATTCAAGGATGCTCTGGATTCAAAATTAAGACCGGAACAGGGTGACTGGTTGGTTTGAGGAAGTACAAATCATGTGTGGATCAAATTGCAACTCTATGCTGCGCAGCATCATAGAACAGAACTTTATCGACTTTGAGCAGACCTTCGGTCGAGGCGTCGACCGAGAAGTAATTTGGCAACACTACGGAATACCACAAACCTTTATCAACCTCATACAGCAACTATATGACGACGCCAAATGCCAAGTGATCCACGATAGAAAGCTCATTGACACCTTTGAAGTAAAGACAAGAGTAAGACAAGGCTGTTGACTATCACCCATGATATTCCTGATTGTAGTCGACTGGATCATGCGGCAAACTGTGAGGAGCCAGAAGATGACCATGCTCTGGACCGATGAGAAGACCCTAAAAGACTTACATTTCGCCAATGATCTATGCTGAATGTCGCACAAACTCGAAGATCTACAGGCGAAAACTAACAAGTTGATAGAAGAGACAGCGAAAACGGGACTTCAAGTGAACGTAGAGAAAATGGAGGTGATGAAGATACCCAACCAACAACAGCATCAACAACAAGAGGCACCAATCACCATGAACGGGAGAAACCTAAAGGAAGTAATCGCTTTCACCTTATCACCTACCTACCTACCTACCTACCTACCTACCTACCTACCTACCTACCTACCTACCTACCTACCTACCTACCTACCTACCTACCTACCTACCTACCTACCTACCTACCTACCTACCTACCTACCTACCTACACACCTACACACCTACCTACCTACACACCCACACACCTACCTACCTACCTACCTACCTACCTACACACCTACCTACCTACCTACCTACACACCTACACACCTACCTACACACCTACCTACCTACCTACACAACTACACACCTACCTACCTACACACCTACCTACCTACCTACCTACCTACACACCTACCTACCTACCTACCTACCTAACTACCTAACTACCACCCCACACCTACCTACCTACCTACCACCCCACACCTACCTACCTACCTACACACCTACACACCTACCTACCACCCCACACCTACCTACCTACCACCCCACATCTACCTACCTACCTACCTACCACCCTACACCTACCTACACACCTACACAACTACCTACCTAGGCACCATCCTTTCAACTACAGGCAACACAGAAACACACATGGATGTCAAAACCACGATCGGAAAAACAATAAAACACGACTTCCTCAATTTATCTGAAATGATCAGTGTGCAGATCTACTCAACGCCAATCACCACAAACCATCAACAACATCCACATTCTCAACACCAATTCAGTCAAGTAAGTCAGTGCTTCCATGTGATGCTTCAGAAAGTTGGCGTGTCATGGAAAGCACTTCCACTTCCAACAAACTACACACAGCCATCATCAACAGCTGCTGTCCACGCTCACTCGATACTGAAGATGAGATCAGATGGGTAGAATAATAAGCATAAGCAAGAAGGAAGTCTGGGTGGTTGGCTGTCAACGAACCAACGAAGCAGGAACCTATCACCCAACAAATATGCAGAAGTAGAAAGTGTAGATGGATTGTATTGTGCATACAGTGAGAAGACCGATTGGGAACATAATGCGGCAGGCTATGCCAGGTGGTCTAGTGTAATCCATAGGTGAAATGCCGAGTTTGGCATTCGAGGTGATGGTGTTATGGAGGAGATGATGTGAGGAAGAACTGAGAGCTTGTAGGCAATCGTAGGGCCAGGTTGAGAAGACTGGAGAGAATGGAGTACAATGGAGGCGTTCTAGTGAAGCCCTATATTCCACTAGGAACCCAAGGGGAAAAATATATAATATGTAATAAACACGACTGATGCAATAAATTGCTTATTCTGAATGATATGATAACCTCGACGGGAATAATGATTATCACTTTGTTGGATTTTTTAAAAATTTGTTTAACTGACTTCACTTTTTTTTCATCTACAGTTAAACAAATGGAAGAAATCAATCATTCTGAAGAAAATATCAATAAATTTGATACAGCGTCATTGAATAATCTTTCAATGCCTTCATTAACATTTCAATCCTTCTTCTTCGATCATGAAAATTGTCAAGATTGTCACTGTCATAATAAGACAAAAAACTTTCATACTAATAATACTAATGGTAGTAACAAGAAAGATTCGAAAGGTGCTTATGTCATCGAAGAAGGAAACGAAATGGTATGGATGAGACGTAATACGGACAAGGATAAGACAAGCCATTGCCTTTGTAAAAAGATATGAATCAAGTAAGTTAGTTATGTATATTTTTCTAAGCACCACTTATCAAGAAACAGTTTTATTCATCTAATCATAGTCTATTACTGTCTTGATCCTGGCTAGTAGGGGCGTTTAGAACACACTTCAAGTACCATTCAAACCCAAATGTCAGCTGTGCCCCCGCTGATCCCAACGGGACTCGAATCACCCACTCCTCTCTTCAAACGCCAAGGTGTTACCCACTAGGCTAATAACGCCCGACAGCCATATCTTATGCAACGGGTGTTATGAATTATCAGTTGTTGATACTGGGGTACAAGTACATTCAACTAACGAGTCTTAATTAGAATTAAACACAGAGTACCAGAGAAAGGGCCTACACTAAATGACGCAGTTGCCTACTTTTACTTCTCATGTTATCTGAAGTAGGGCTGTGTTGGAAGAAGAAGACTAAAAAGGGTCAAACCAAGCAGTAGTGTCACACCAGAAAGTCTCTGTTGAACTCAACTGTTCCCTAGCTTGGATCCTCAAGATATTATGAATCAATAGTTGGCGACCTTCGGTGACAGCGGAAAATTGCTTACATCGTCACAGGTGTACTTGCTCTTCGATGTCTATAATTACTATTTGTCCTTTGGGTTCCTAGTGGAACATGGGGCTTCACTAGAACGTCGCCACTTCACTCTCCTCCACACAGTCTTTCCAACCTACATGCATGACTGACCACAAACTTTCATCGCGTCCTCACACCATCTCATCAGTGTCACCCTCCAACCAACAACTCGTCCTTCCCCATGCGGCTTCCACTTGACAGCCTAACCTAGCCTGGAGCGTGATGTCCCTAAACAGTCTTCTCTGTGTGCATGCCCCATCCAATCCATATCCACCTTCTCCTTCTCATGCACATTTCATGCGTGATATCTTCTTGCTTCCTTGGTCGGTTTGTTACCAAGCCACACTTCCTCCTTGCTTATTCTTCCTCACCTTCTCATCTGATATTCAGTATGGAGTAGGTGTAGGTGGTAGCTGCTGCTGATGATGCATATCTACAGTTTCTTCGAAATGCTCTTCGTAATGCACAAAATCTCCCAACCATCACATCGAAGCACTTACTGACTTGATTGAATTAGTGTTGAAAATCTGCATCTTGTTGTACATTCTGAGTGCAGTGCAGTGCAGCTGAGTAGATCTCCAAACTGATTTCAGACTAATGAAGGCCGTCTTGTTGTCTTTCCGATCATGGCATTCACATCCTCATCTGGGCCGCCGCCGCCACCTGTAGTTGAGACAATGCTGCCTCCTAGATAGGTAGGTAGGTAGGTGAAAGAGACAACTTCCTTTAGATTTCTTCCCTTTATGGTGACTGGTGCTGCTTGCTGTCGGTTTTGTTGTTGGTTGGGTATTTTCATCATCGCTGTCTTCTGTACGTCCAAGTAGAGTCTTCGCTGCCCTGCTTCTTCTACCAGTTTCTAGTTCTCACCTGTAGATCTTTGAATTTGTGCGACACGAGACCTTAGGCATAAATCATCATGGGTGAGATCCAAATCTCCTAGGGTCTTTTCATCGCGTAAACAGAGTAAATCCATTTTTTCACAGCTCCTCACAGTTGTCGGTTGAATGATGCAGTCAAGTTCAGTGCAGTCGACCACAATCAGGAAGATCATAGGGGATGGAAGGAAGCAACCTTTTCTTACTCCTATTTTCAAACCAAGTAGCAAGACAAGGTCTGCTTAGGTCTGCTTAAGTCTGCTTAAGCTTAAACGTTCTCACTGACCTTGATTTTTCAAATTCTTTCTTCGGTCAAACATCTTTGTCAAGTTTTACGCCATTCATTTTCTGTTCACTTCACCTTTACATGCTGTCGTGAAACGTGGTTAGTTGAGCCGGTACACTTATATTCTAAGTTCTCCTTTCATATCAGTGTCTATCTGTCTGTCTACCCTTGAATAAATGCATTCCGACCCAGTCACTCAATGGCAACCTGATGGCCCCAAGACCTGAAGGCCTTTGGTCCAACTCCTGGTGAGACAGGGCTCATGGATGCGCACTGATGAGGAGTCAAATGCTGGGACAAAACAGCTACACAGTGCTCCAGGGTTTTATAACTGATGTTACTCCGTAGCGAACACCTGTATGAGATAAATAAACTTCCCACAAACCTCTAGATTGAACAATTTCCCTTTGTTAATTTATTTCTATAGAAGTAGATGATGCTTCAGCATATGAAACCATACGTACTGGTTTTGAATCTTGGTGGGAACACTATGGCTCTCTTAAGTGTACGTACTTCCAGCTGACGAGTGATTTCCCAAGTTGAAAGAAATTTACATCATCGATTCTACCCCTTACCACCAAGTAAGCTATTACATAGTGAGTATTCAGGCATTATCGAAGCGCTCCCATAGAAGTCCATCTCCGAACAGAGATTCAGCAATTCTTTCAGTATAAAAATGGGATAGTATAAGTAACAATATATAGCTATGTATACGCCTTTTCAAAGAGTTGCAACGACTAGTTAGATGTTCTTCATCGATAAAGAGGTATTCAAAAATGAAACTTTTGATAGTCACCTTCTGTCGTCCGTGCCCAGTTGAGCTGAACTACATCCTTTACATTCTATTCTTGCTATATGTACCTTTGACCTGCTTTTGTTCACTCTTTTTTTCCTCGCTAGTGTTCCGATTGGCTCCAGCCTCTTTCAATGTAACAATTATTCCTTATCTTCCAAGGTTATTGTGACTTCTTTATATATATAGGGTCCGTTTTTAGCAACAAACTTTTCATCTCAAGACTGCATGAATTCAGATGAATGCCAGTCTTTTGATTTCCCTGTTTGAATCACTGAGGTTGAATTGTCTCAACCCTCAGCCTCTCAATCGTTGATTTTTTCTTTGTTCATTCTGACAACTAGGCTTCGTAAAACTTTCATAATTCCTTTATACTACTATCAGTAGTAAAAGTAAGAATGTTGAATATACTTCAGTCAATATATATGTATATATATATATATATATATATATATATATATATATATATATAGAGAGAGAGAGAGAGAGAGAGAGAGAGAGAGAGAGAGAGAGAGATAGTATTCATCATGGACTGATATCAGTTGGGGAACCATTGGAAATCTGGGAGCACTCGACAGCTGTTTCGTCCTAGTACGCCACTCCTCAGCAGTACGCACCCACGACCCGGCTACTGGTCGAACTCAGGACCTTCAGGTTTCACGGCGAACGCGTTAACCATTCAACCACTGGGTCGGGTTCCAGTGGTTCACAATTTCCAACTTCTGTCAATGCAGATGGATATCACGAAGTTCTTATGAGAAGTCGTGACCTGTGGGGTCAACCAGTTGAAAGTGAAGTGGATACCAAATGAAGACCTTGGGTGATAGTTGCACTATATCATGAATTGACAGAAGTTAGAAATTGTAAACCACTAGGAACCGACGCAGTGGCCGGATTCTAAACGCGTTCGCCAAGGAACCTGAAGGTCCTGAGTTTGATCCCTGGTGGAGTCCTGTGTGCGTACTGCTGAGGAGTGGTCTACTAGGAGGAAACAGGTGTCCAGTGCTCCCAGATTTTCAATGGTTACCCAACTGATGTTAGTCCCTGGTGGGTACTTACTTCTAAATAGATTATAGTTTAGTGTAGTAATACAAGTAAAAAGGGTTTGTGCAAAAAGAACATTAAGATTGTTATTCAGTCTCATAAATTTGCTGAAAAAAATGAGACTGATTCTACATATATATGAAACAAGATTTATTTCAACTTCTAGACGCCAGTTTCAATCTACACTAATATTGTATCATTAAATTTGATAACTTTTCTGTTCAATCCCGAATCTAATAAACTTCTATTGGCATTTAAGTAGTAATGGACTTACTCTCACCAACCCTCAACCCCTCCGAACGCATAGTGACTCAGTCGCTGATCTAATATTTCAGTCCAAGTAAAAAACTTATCACACTCAATGACTGAATGACAAATGATAAGTTATTCACTGAAGAATGATACTTCTTCCGCAGTGTGAGTGTATACTGTACTATTTATGGAAGTAGGTGAAATAGTTGGGATTTGGAAGATTGGTTTCATTGATTCAGGGATATAATTGAAGATGGGATTTAAACCTGAGTTGTAACAAGATTCAGAAAGGTAGCTTCTAAAGCATCCACTTAGTTATGACATCCTCCTACTGACCAGATTTTAAATTTACTGAGCATCTATAGTATGACTATGATGAATAGAAAGTTGTGTATTATACATAAATTAGCTTCAACTGTTGGATTTCATACCCGATTTCATAGAATTGTGACAGATGATTAGAAGTTACAGTGATTTGTGTCTTGCCAGTACCCTACGTCAGCAAACTTTATTAACGTGTACGAAAAAGCGTACGATTCTAATCCACGAGGTCTTATTGATTATATCTAAACAGAGCGCAGTGTGCATTAGCACTTAAAAAACAAAAGAAGACACAGCGAAACTTAACGAAACTGGAAAATTCAGCTTTAAACAATCTACGAAAGGATAATAGTATAGTAATTGCTAAATCTGACAAAGGTAACTCAACAGTAGTTATGGACAAATCGGATTATCTTAAAAAAATGGATGAACATATCCAAACAGGGCCATATGAAGAGATTAAGAAACCTATAGATACTGTCATGAATAAAATTAAGAAATCTACAACAGATCTGATACGCCGACTGAAGCCATCTCTAGGTAAGTCCGAATGGTTTACTTTAATGCCAAAAACTAATAATCCTAGCAGAATTTACGGTACTATTAAGGTTCATAAAGCAGGTTATCCCATTAGGCCGATAGTTGACTTCCGAACACACCAACATATGAGATATCAAAGTATTTAGCATCAGTATTACGTCCTGTTAGAGACCGTTCCAACTCTAGACTAGTAAATTCTTACGAGTTGAAACAAAAACTTAATGACCTGCACATAGAAGAGGATGAAAAAATGGTTAGTTTTGACGTAACAAGTCTTTATACTAAAATACCAATCAATATGGCACTGGAGGCAGTCAGAAATCAACTAGATACTGACTCACAACTTACTCAAAGAACCAAGGCATCGGTTGGTGAAATCATGTTAGGAGTGCAGTTATGCTTAACCTCGACAGTCTTCAAGTTTCAGGGAAAGATATACAGACAAACAGAAGGAGTAGCAATGGGATCACCAATATCCCCTATAGTAGCAGATATATTTATGGATAGTTGGGAAGATATGGCTTTACGAACATATAATCCGACACCTAAGATATGGTGGCGATATGTAGATGACACATTTACAGTGTTGAAATCGGAACATATCGACAGTTTCTTGACACACATAAACTCAGTAGTTAACGCAATCCAATTCACTACGAAGTAGAAAATGAACAAGGAGAATTACCTATGTTGGATTGCAGAATAAAACGAAGGATAGATGGTGGTTTAGATACTACCGTCTACAGAAAACCAACACATTCTAACAGGTATCTAGACTTCAAGTCATCTCATCCAGTGTCAGTTAAAGCGGGTTTAGTCAAATGTCTAAATAACAGAGCTGAGAAACTCACTAGTCATTGTAAGGACTTAAATAAGGAATTGAAACACATAAAAGAAGCGTTAATAACTAATAATTATCCCCATCATTTTATTAAGAAATTCACACGGACGCATAAGAAGCAAAATAATAACACTAATACAAATACAAATAATAGTGACAACATAAGTAGAAAGGAAATCAACACCTCTATTGTGATACCATACAAGGAAGGAACATCAGAAACCATACGTAGGATTCTCAACAAGGTTGGAATTAGGGTGGCATTTAAACCAACAAACTCACTTAGAGGTAAGCTTTGTCGGCTAAAAGATCCGATAGAACCAATTAAGCAAAATAATATAATCTACCAAATTCCATGTAATGACTGTGAAGTCAAATACATAGGTCAAACTAGCCGGTCGGGGTCAGTTAGATTAACAGAACATAGGAATTTAGCTAAACATAGAACGGCAGACCCCAATAAGATCAATAACCTAGAAAAACACTCAGCCATTGCATTACATTCATTAACACACAACCACACAATAGGATGGGACAAAACCACTGTACTTAAGTCTAATATAGCTAGGTGGAGAGAGAGATTAATTACTGAATCTTTGTTCATCGAATCCACACCCAACACATGTAATAGGAATGACGCAACACCTATACCAGAGATATGGAAAACTTTACTACCAATCAAAAAACAAAAAAACAAAGAGAGATCAGGTGACAGGACTATAAAATCAGATGTCGAAAGAAGTGTGATTACATTGATATGATTATGAGCAATAATTTATGCTCGAAACGTAATCAATTAAATAATACTGTATCACTATGCGCTTTTCTGAAGGCGGCATTTGACTCCGTTGATCGAGAAGTCTTATGGCAGTGTCTGTCACTGAAAGGCGTGCCTAGTAAGTACATCACCTTATTGAAAGCTCTCTACTCGAACACTTGTGGGCATGTTAGAGCCTATGGTGAGTTGTCCAGGGAGCTATACTCATCAAGTGGTGTCCGTCAAGGATGCCCACTATCCCCATTCTTATTTAATTTTATCATAGATAGTCTTTTGGAGGTTTCCCTCGCGTCACCTAATTACAAAGACGTTGACCCAATCACAGGTGAATTTTCCTTAGATCTAGAATATGCAGATGACATAGTCCTGTTAGGTGAAGACGCTGACTGATGAGATGTAGAGTCTTGTGAACACTTTGAGTGGGAATTTGAGAATGTTTGGGATGCGATTTTCACCACCCAAATGCAAACTTTTGCTCCAGGACTGGTCTTCAGCGGTGCCCCACCGCGGCTAACAATAGAGAGTGAAGTGGTTGAGTGTGTCGAGCAGTTCACTTACCTGGGAAGTAGGATCAACCCTAGTGGGGTTAGTTGCCGATGACATTTCTGCACGGATACAAAAGGCTCGATTGGCTTTTGCCAATTTGCGCCACCTATGGCGCCGCCGTGATATTCGTTTGTCTATTAAGGGTCGCGTGTACTGCACAGCAGTCCGCTCTGTTCTACTATATGGCTATGAAACATGGCCATTGAAAGTGGAGGATACAAAAAGGCTTCAGGTGTTTGACCACCGTTGCCTTCGTAGTATAGGACGTATTCCGTGGTATCACCATGTGAGTAATGCAGAAGTTAGGTGTAGAGTTTTGGGGAGAAGAGGTAAGTCAGTCGACAAGGTTGTGAACCTTCATCGACTGAGATGGTTGGGACACGTACTACGTATGCCTAGTCACCGATTGCCTCGTCACACAATGTTGGCTGAGGTGGGTTCAGGCTGGAAAAAGGGTGGAGGTGGCCAGACTAAAACATGGCACCAATGTATGAAGTCTCTGACAGTTGGTTTAAGCCATGTAGGACGATTCAGACTAGGTGGTTGGGGTCCACAGGACAAGAGGAACCAGTGGTTGGAGACCCTAGGTGATATGGCTCAGAACCGAAGTCAGTGGCGCAGATGTATACACACATTATCCTCATTTTAACAACGCTATACCGAATCTCACTATTTTGTCACTCCTCTTTCCTTTCTTCTCGTACTTTATATTTCTTTTGACTGCATTCACTTATCTTCATCCTTCACCTCACTACCTTTTTACTTGATGTGCTGATATGAGGTGTGGCAACTCGGACCGTTACGCAGTAATACCTGGTCCTATGTTGATAATGATGATGATGATGACTGTGCGCTTTATATCAAATAAACAAATCTAATATGGAACTACATTCTACCACAGTGCCCAAGTTTTTCACTTATATAAACAGAATATTGTTTTCCCATCTATTTACATGAATAAATTCATTCCCTTATATACATGATGCTAATTAGAACCTCCTTTTCTTATAGAAAAACAACAAACCCGAACAGAAACATGCATCATATGTGATGCCTGTCTGGAAATTTATTGATTCTTCGTTTAGAGAACAAAGCGAGAAGAGGAAATGTATATCGAAGGAATCGTTGAAAGTCAAAGAAGTTTCTGTAATGACTGAACCATCCAATTTACCACTCATCGACACTGTAGCTACCCAGATATCATTTACGACTGATAAATCTATACAAACTATCAGTAATGAGGTTAGTTTTCTCGCGTTACATCAGCATATTTCGACTTATTTTTACTAACTGTTTAATTGGTGGCTAGTTTTAACATTCTCTGTATTATTCCTCGTCCCTATTCATATTAAAAGTTTCTTGTTTACCCAGTGATCACTGATGCTATAAACTCTTGGAAACAAAAGAATAGTCCAGAGATTAGTTACAAGTTGTAAGGATTAACTCAACATTAAAGAAATATGCTGCTGTTAGGTTCACTATGTCCAGTTCAACTGTTCATTCAGTTATTTTGACATATTCACTTATACTACTAATCAGTAGTTCGACTTTTTGACCTAAAATGTTTTGGAGTTCTTGAGACACTTTTTATCTACTTTGCTATCACTCATTTTCTATTCACCTGTTCCTTTTACACTACTGTGAAGTGTGCCAACTTGAGCCGATGCAATTGTGTGCCAGATTCTACGCTGATTTTGTCACTGAGTTAGTCAAATTCTCTTCTTCACTTGAAGTCCATACACAATCTCACTCTAATCATAAACTGTAAGAAAAGAATGATATTTGGCTGAAGGCAGTCGACAGGAAATCCTGAAGATAAATATTGTGCTTGTTGGCCCCCAATAGTAAGATGTACCTAAAGTCTCAACGGAAGTAATATCCCGTCTGTGACTTGAATCCACAAAAAACTACCAACAAGTAAGAAACGTAGATACAAGGAATGTAGGGCTTCACTAGAACGTCGCCACTTCACTCTCCTCCACACAGTCTTTCCAACCTACATGCATGACTGACCACAAACTTTCATCGCGTCCTCACACCATCCCATCCATGTCACCCTCCAACGAACAACTCGTCTCTTCCCACTCAAGTTTCACTAGACGACATGGTCAGACCTGGCGCGTGATGTCCCTAAACAGTCTTCTCTGCGTGCATGCCCCATCCAATCCATATCCACCTTCTCCTTCTCATGCAGATTTCATGCGTGATATCTTCTTGCTTCCTTGGTCGGTTTGTTACCATGCCACACTTCCTCCTTGCTTATTCTTCCTCACCTTCTCATCTGATATTCAGTATGGAGTAGGTGTAGGTGGTAGCTGCTGCTGATGATGCATATCTACAGTTTCTTCGAAATGCTCTTCGTAATGCACAAAATCTCCCAACCATCACATCGAAGCCCTGACTTACTTGACTGAATCACTGAATTAGTGTTGAAAATCTTCATCTTGTTCTACATGCTGAGTGCAGTGCAGTGCAATGCAGCTGAGTAGATCTTCGTACTGATTTCAGATTAATTCAGGAAGGCGCGTCTTGCTGTCTTTCAGATCCTGTTTTTGACATTCTCATCTGTGCTGCCTGTAGTTGAGACAATGCTGCCTCCTAGATAGGTAGGTAGTTAGGTGAAAGAGACAACTTCCTTTAGATTTCTCCCTTCATGGTGATTGGTACATGTTGTGTTCGTTGTTGTTGATTGGCTATCTTCATCATCTCTGTCTTCTTCTTCTCTACGTTCACCTGAAGGAAGTTCGATCTTCGCTGCCTCGCCTCACCTCTTCTGTCAACTTGTTATTTTTCGCCTGTACATCCTTGAGTTTGTGCGACATAAGACATTAGACATAAATCATCATCATAGACGAAATTCAAATCTTCTTCTAGAGTCTTTTCATCAGTCAAACAGTGTATGTCCATCTTCTCACAGCTTCGCACAGTTTGTTACATGATCCAGTCGACTACAGTCAGGGAGATGATCAGCGATAGTAGGCAGAAACCTTATCTTGTCTTACTTCTGTCTCCACTTCAAAGGGCATCATTGAATCGCTTGGCGCGTAGCGTCGTCATATAGCTGTTGAATGGGGTTGATAAGAGTTCGTGGCACTCGGTAGTGTTGAACCAGGCGCCAAAATTATCTCTTGGTCAAAGCTGTCGAATTCCAACTTCCTTTAGTCTGAATAGTCAAAAGTAATCAAGCGACACTGATTCCTAATTAACCAATTACAAGTTTAAAGAAAATCTATGCACTACTAAATGGTTGAAAAAGATACTGAGAATGTAATGGTTATGTAACTCGCTAAACTGAAGAGAGATATATGATGTTTTGAACTTTGGTGATATTGATGGATATTAGCCAGTAGTGGAATCTAAGACGAGTATTTTGTCCCATCGAGAATTAGCTCGTCAGGTGGATATGCCTAAGTCTCTATGAGCGGTATGGTTCTTACTGAAATTTAAATCAAGCATCCATACCTTCAAATATCACAGCGTTGTCTACTCACCAACTTAATCAGGGATAACCACTGCCTATGCGAGATTGTTCTGTTACATACCTATCCAGTTAGCTAGCGAACACTTTTCTCTTCAAAGTCGAATAAGATCAGTTTGACTTGTGATATACTTCATGCAGCACCAATTCTTATTTCTATCAATGATAGATCAACGTATAAGTAATAAGAAACTCGGAGAACAAACCAACCAAGAACCTATTGCTCAACAAATATGCCGAAGAAAATGAAGACGGATTGTATTGGACGTAAACTGAAAATATCATTCAGGGACATCACGCATCAGACCAGACCAGGCCATGTCGTTGAGTGGAACCGAAATGAGAAACGATGAGTTGGGCGTGCAAGGGTGATATGAAGGAGATGCTATGAGGAAGAAATGAAAGTTTATGGCCAGTGGTGAAGCCAGGTTAAGAAGACTTCAAAGAAGAGAGTGAAATAGAGGAGTGCTACTGAAACCCTATCTTCCACTAGGAACCAAAGGGACAAATAATAATAAATAAATCAGTGATAGATAAAATTTAAACACCTAATATGATTTAAGAAATCTGGTGAAAAATTCCCGCCTTAATTTAAGGTTAATGAATGAAGTGGATGTATTCATCGAATATTAGAATGAATTGAGTAATTCATATCAGTTTTAGTCGGCACATTAATGATGTGATTTTAACCTCGACATAAATGACTCCATTGTCTATGAAATAGCTAACCAACTGATGTCCTACACGAATTGATGTTACAGGTTTCAGGTGACAAGTACCTTTTCAATATTTCTGATATATAGGCAAATCAATCAGATGGTAATATTAGTATGGATAAGTAATGGACAATTAGACAGCTGTTTTTATCAAAAATCCTAATTATATCATGAAATGAAACCGATTGTGAAGGAAAAAACAATCATAAAATAGCATGGTGTGATACGAAGATGGAGGTTATCTGAGAAATATGTGATGTATTCATGCAATACACTTCGAACAATCATATCACACATATCCTTACTTCTCAAGCCATTTTCGAATGAAGGATGAAAATAGGTGAATAAATTAAGATAATACGTGGTTGCAGAGAAGAAGAATTCTTCCTTTTTCGCGAAATCATTTACTAACCTGTACATTCATGAATCTGTATTACAGTAGGCAGAATGTTCCAGAATTATTACCGGTTAGGGGGGCAAAATATATTGAATAACTAAAGGAGGAGACAGTACCAAAGAGGAACCGCTTCACTTCCGACTGATTGACCCCACAGTGCTCTCATATTTTCAATGGTTTCCCAACTGATGTCAATCCGTGATGAATACTACCTCTAGACAAATGGATAAACTGTCCTAGAGAGATTATGACCAAGGCAAAATTAGAAATTCAGTGTGTCTCTTCTGAACATAAAGATTAGGCTTGAACCATTGGTTTGCCAAAGCCTCTGTTATGTTGAGGTGGCGGACAAGCATTCCCTTTCTAATCGGAATGTTTAACTTCACTTTATAAATGACTTTGAAAGAAGATTCTCATAGAGTGTTGTGGCCAGAATTAATGAAATGCTCTAGAATCAAGTTGTTGACGCCTTTACACTGTCCTTTAGATAGGCATGGAGGTTAGTGTTTGGAGAGATGCATTTGGATTGAACACGCTGTATGAGGGCCTTTGTGACAACAGCAGTTGAATTTATAAAAAAGTCATGGTGATTGTCCAAGGCGGTAGTTTATCTTGTACATATCCTCGAATCAATTGTCAACTGGCGAAAAAACTCCGAAGCTGGACGGAAAAGAACGTCTTCTTCAGTGCTCTGGATAATCTATTTTTATTTATCTCAGTCGATGTATCTCCCTTAAATCCAATGTTTACGCTTCATATTCCTCTTAATGAATCTTGAAGGAAAAGATAAGGCGTGGTTGCAGCGAAGAAAGTCATTTACTTAGCTGTATATTTGTGAATATATGTTACAGTAGGCAGAAAGTTCCAGAATTATTTCCGGTTAGGGGGCAAAATATAGTGAATAACTAAAGGCAGTTAATTAATACACATTTGGATTTAGAGCAGGAAAATAGACAAGGAATTATGAAACTAAATGCAATTACGTAATACAGGATGAATGTACAGCAAAGTAAGAAAATGAACGAAAGGTTATGAAAATATATATATAGTCACCTAATACAATATGAATCTATGACAGTCAAGGCTTTATGATGGCCATGGAAAAGATAAAGATTGTACGTATAACTCTGGTTTCAACATCTAGACCGCTAGTGTTTCAATTATAGGGGAATGGCTTGATCCTTCTCCCTTCGAGTGGTTTGATCGAACCCTGTAGAGAAGTTTAAATGAGCTGTCGAAAGGAGTTAACTGGCTTGAGTTCATGAGGTGTTCTGTTATTTAACTGAAGATACCTTTTCGTTCTCCCTTTACCAGTCAGCCTGAATGGTGTTCTCAGGCACGTTTTACAAGCGGATGCAGGGTACATCCGATGTACTCAGCTCTACAAGAGCAAGTACAATGATATACACACACTGATGTGGCTCAATGCTTCGACTTGTCTTACACACTGACCAAAAAGTTTCTTGCAGGAGAAAATAATTCGAAGGTTGACGGCAAGGTATGCTCCATTTAAGCATTCTGATAGTCGTTTCCTCAGGATCTCACTTCTCCTACTGTTCATTTTCCTACTGTGTCACAGATCCAACCTACACTACGTATTACAATTTTATTTTCACAATTCCCCGTTTATTTTCTTACTTGGCTATACATT